CAGATGTTGGTAACAACCCAAGTGATCCATACATACAAAGAAATCAAACCATAAATGTCCAGAAATGAAGTTATTTGTAATAATGTGGAATGGCACAGGGAAAAAGTATTGAACACACTTACTGAAATTTATCTAATACTTTGTACAAAAGCCTTTGTTGTCAATGACAGCTTCAAGACGCCTCCTGTATGGAGAAACTAGTGGCATGCATTGCTCAGGTGTGATTTTGGCCCATTCTTCCACACAAACAGTCTTCAAATCTTGAAGGTTTCGTGGACCTCTTCTATGAACTCTGATCTTTAGTTCTTTCCATAGATTTTCTGTTGGATTCAGTCAGGTGATTGGCTGGGCCATTCCAGCAGCTTTAGTTTCTTTCTCTGAAACCAACTGAGAGTTTCCTTGRCTTTGTGTTTGGGCTCATTGTCTTGCTGAAATGCCCAGCCACGTTTCATCTTCATCATCCTGGTAGATGGAAGCAGATTTTTATCAAGAATGTCTCTGTACATTTTTCCACTCATCCTTCCTTCAATTATTTGAARTTTGCCAGTACCATATGCTGAAAAACAGCCCCACACCATGATGTTCCCACCTCCAAACTTCACTGTTGGTATGGTGTTTTTGGGCTGATGTGCAGTGCCATTTGACCTCCAAACATGATGTGTATTCTGGCATCCAAACAGTTCAATGTTGGTCTCATCTGACCAGACTATATTCTCCCAGTATTACACAGGCTTGTCTAAATGTTGTGCAGCAAACTTTAAAGGAGCTTCAACATGCTGTTTCTTCAGCAGTGGAGTCTTGCATGGTGAGCGTGTATACAGGCCATGGTGGTTCAGTGCATTACTTATTGTTTTCTTTGAAACTAACGTACCTGCTAATTCCAGGTCTTTCTGAAGCTCTCCACAAGTGGTCCTTGGCTCTTGGACAACTCTTCTGATAATTCTTTTCACTCCTCTGTCAGAAATCTTGTGAGGAGCACCTGGTCGTGGTCGGTTTATGGTGAAATAATGTTCTTTCCACTTCTGAATTATGGCCCCAACAGTGCTCACTGGAACCTTCAGAAGTTTAGACATTCTTCTGTAACCGATGCCATCATTATGCTTTGCAACAACAAGGTTGTGAAGGTCTTGAGAGAGGTCTTTACTTTTACCCATCATCAGTTGTTTCTTGTGTGATACCTGGCCATCATTTGGGACTGAACCAGCTGATATTAACTTGCACTGACAAGGGGCAGGCTTGCTTTCTAATTACTGAGAGAGTTCAGCTGGTGTCTTGGCTTTCCATGCCTTATTACACCTCCCTTTCTTCATGTGTTCAATACTTTTTCCCTGTGCCATTCCACATTATTACAAATAACTTCATTTCTGGACATTTATGGTTTGATTTCTTTGTATGTATGGATCACTTGGGTTGTTACCGACACCTGGTGAAAATTTCATGTCATTAGCACCTCTAGTAATATATTTACTGAGAAAAATGGTGACGTGTTCAATACTTATTTTACCCTCTGTATGTTGCACATCCTTTAGTCCTTATTAATATTGGGCTTTTTTATATTTCCAGCTTGTGTGAACTGCCTGTTACTTTGCTGCTGATGCACCTGAACAATAAAGTCTATTCTATTCTATTCTATTCTATTCTATTCTATTCTATTCTATTCTATTCTATTCTATTCTAATTCATTATGCACTTCAAAAAACTATCTGGAAACAGTTTTATTATATTAAGTGGTTCATTAAATGACACAAATTATTAAAAATAATTAAAACAAGCAAATTTATTTGTTATTCATATTATTTTAATTAATTTATATTTAGGTATGGAATTCAGAACTTATTATTATATAATTTGGTATTGGTGTACATTACAATATTGTCATTTGAAATGCAAAGTTGTCCAATGCTTAGTTTGGAGACAAAAGACTAAATTAATGAAAGTTGCAGACTATACTTGTTTTTTAACACAACAAAATAGGAGATATTACATATAAAAGAAAGGACAGAAACTTTTGCCTCTAAAATACAGAATATAATAATTTCACTTCACATGTTGATTGTCTTTTTTTATCTGTTTCTTTTGAAGCAGTGAACCTAGCCTTTCTGCCTGACAGTAGCATTTTTATTTTCTGCTTTAATCAGTACGGTAAAAATAGATCTTAGTCAACATGTTAGATAAAAGGAATGCTGTAAAAAATCTATTTTCATGAATCATGAGGTCATATTTTAGTGAGTAATAATCATGATTATTTTAAAAAAATAAGCAGGAGGTAAAAAGCATGAATATCTGACGCTGTATCTTTGTGGTAGWGCGGGACTTTGTGTACTTCAGTGACAACGCATCGAGCATCATAGTTACTGATCCCCCAAAGGAACAGCAGCTTAAATCACAGCTGGAATCTCAAACAACAGGGAGCAACACTTTCTCCGAGAAAAGAACAAAGCCAAAGCTGAGGTGCAGAGCWGCTGCTAACCTACAGACAGAATACAGATGGAGCTAACAGAGAAACCATCAGCTCCTGTTCGGGTTCGATTATCTGTCAAGAGGGCTTCACCAAAGTGTTTCCTGCCAGTTTCATTTATAGTCGACAGACACGCAGCCGGGGACATGAATCACAGAAAGGATGTCACCCAAATATTCTAGGAAACAATTAATGTTTGTCCTATAGGTGGGAACTGAATGTAGTAGCACCACACAGCCAGAGCTGGAACTGGAACAAGAGGAAACGTGGAAACAACACAGCAGCTGTCATCAAGATYTTTTCAACTTCTCAATCAAGACATTTTTTTTTAGATTGATAATGTTAATTAAGGACAACATAATAGTTAAGGATAATATGAGTTACAACATTTAATTTCCCTTTGGGATTAATAAAGTATTATTGAACTGAATTGAATCAGTAGACAGTTGAAGATGTTCTTCTATTGCAGGGCGGTGCAGAGAGCACTAAAGGGGCAGGTGCTCAAAGTCAAAAAAGGGCATTTACTACCGAGGGCACCGAATTGTAGGGTGGAAWATAAGCAAGAATCTCACACATTTAAAGCTCCAATAAGCATGGAGACATACAACTTTAACTGCTGCAGCTGTGTGAGGGGCAAACACTGCTTGCATCACAGGGGTAAAAGATCAAAGGTAATGAGGCGACTGGAAGTGATGTCATTTTTAACGAAATAAAATAACATTATTATTGCATATTTTAATTAGGTGTTAGAGAAGGGTCTATGGAAATAAATAAATAAAACACATTTGACCAAAAGGGCAAAGGGCAAAAGGGGCAGGTGCTGTTGTCTCTATGTGGCCTTGGCAACATGTCCAGGATGCACCCCGCCCCTCACACAGTGACTAATCAAAGTTAGATTATTTTATTTTATTTATTTTTAATCATGGATGCCACGCCCTCTGTAGCAACAGAGATCATCCGACCTGTTGTCACCATACAGTTCAAAAGCCTGCCTCTCTGATGGCGTGGGGGTGCATTATGCTTTTATGGGGATAGGCCTGTCACAATAACAAATTTTACTGGACGATAAATTGTCTCAGAAATAATTGCAATAAACAATAACATTGTTGGAGACCAGTTTAAACTGATATAAAGATATAACCCTCCTGTTTATGGAAGTTTACAGTAAAATTTAGAGGTTAGGAGACCATGTGCCTGACAAATACCTGATGCCAGAGTTCACTCCTCTCTATTACAAAAGAGGGAGGCAAAGAAAACAAGCAAGCATGCAAATGAAAATTATTGTCTTCATTTTAATTTATCTTCCTCAATCTAATTTATCAATAAATTGATTTGTTGTTTACTGTGACAGGCCTATATGTGGAGCTTACACATCTGGGAAGGTGCCAAAAATAGAGAACTACAGAACTTTACCTTCCYAAATCTCCCTTGGTAAAAAACAGAGGGGCTGATTCACAGTAGTGCATATGATCCTATCATCTTTGTTTAGGTGTGTTGCTGCCTCAAAATTCAAAATGATCTTTTTATTAGGTTAAACATTTCACATGTTCATTATGTTCCACTGTGAATAAATTGTGCGTTTATGAAATTTACAAATCATAGCATTCTGTTTTTATTTACATTTAATGCAACCTATTAAAACTAATGATTTTGAGCACATAAATCTTCATCTGGTCTTTCACGTTCCTTCTTAACAAGTTCAACTGAGTGGATTATGCAAAAAGATCTTTTGCAATTTTCAAATGTGATCATTCTTAAAAGTACAATGGATCTCTTATTGATGCCTGATCATTCTGTTCGATGTGCTGAAACTGACACAAATAAAAAAAAACGAATGTATTCATGTGCAAAACCTTGTGTTTACTTAATATACCTTAAAAATAAAAACATAAATAAATATTGTGCATATATA